AGGTATACCACTCTGGGCATATACCCAAAGGACTCCACATCCTACCTGCTCATCTATGAGCTTTGCTGTTCTATTCACAATTGCCAGCAAAACAAACAGCCTAGATGTCCATCTAATGAAAATGTAGTGTGTTTACACAGTGAAATATTATTCAGCTATTAAGAAAAATGAAATTATGAAATGTGCAGGTAAGTGGATTGGACTGAAAACAATCATTCTGAGTGAAGTAAATTAGACCTAGAAAGAAATGTCACACATTCTCTCTCTTATGTGAATGTTAGCCTTGAATCTTCAGATACATATTTCACTTGGAATACCCAAAGAGTTCAGGGAATTAGTAGTGTGGGGGGTGGGGTTCAAGGGAAGGAGTTAGAGCATGCTTGTATAAAGGTTAAAGGTGAATAATGGGACAGGAAGGGTTAAATTGGGGTGAGAAGGGGAGGGAAGGGTAGTGAAGGGACCATAGGAGAGATAACTAACACTGAAAATCTTTAAAACAAGTCATATGGAACACAGTAATGGAGAGGGGGTATAAGACAAGACAGGCCGAGAATAGAGTTCATCTGCAATGCAACAATGCTCCACTAAACAATACAGGAAAGCAAATAAAAAGTCCAGAGCCAGGAAGGGGTTACTTCTTTGGAACTTTTTTAGTCAGGGAGATCTCATAGACCCACAAATATTACAGGCTATTGCCAATGCTCTTGGTCACCCTCCAGAAGCTGATAAGACTCTATTGCTTGAATCACAGAACATGGAAAAATGAAGTTGTCTGTCCCAACCTGAGAGCTTCGTCGCTACTGGCTAGTTCTCATGGTTCTTTAAGAGTCTGTGTGTACTACTGGAGAAGGAAAGTAGTCATCAGTCAGAGCCAGCTGTGAACTCTGAGATCTGCAGTGGTGACTGGCCTGGAAAGCCATTGGGGCAAGAGTGACATGAACATCATGGGAGTAACCAACCACGTTCTGAATGCAGAGGACCCAGGCTTGATTCCTAGCAACCCCACACAGCTCAGAAGCATCTGTAACTTCCATTCCAGGGGATCCAATGCTCTTTCCGGCATCAGGCACACAAGTGATGCATAGACATACATTGAGGCAAAAGCACACATACGTATAAAATTAAAATTTTTGTAAAAGCTTAGTTCCTGGTTAGTTGACCAAAATCCAGTTAAAGACCAAACAGCCATGAATATTTGGGCATCACAATTGATCCTAATGGGTTTTTTTAAAGAACCCAGAGATGGGTGGCAATGAAAGGGCAGATGGACCTGGGAAGAGTCGGAGTGGAGGCGCACATGATCAAAGCACATGCAGAACTCTCAAAGAACTAATAAAGCCATTTTTTTAATTAAAATTACAGCTAGAGGGGGCGTAACACTCACATCGATTGTTGGCACCATGAGTAACCTTCTCTACTTAGGAGTCCTGTCTTGGAGCAAGAACAAAATAGACCTGGTATTTAGTATTCCTTCCACAAGGGTTGTTCCCTTTGATCATAGAATCCAGGAAGGCAATCAAGCAAAATCACCCCAAACTCACAAATACAATATGTGGATGTTTTTTTTCTCTCTCTCGAGGTTAAAATGATGAGAAGATAGTCCTTAAGCAGCAGGGCCCATGTGACTGTGGGTTTGAAGGCACATGCCGCACATTGTGGGGTGGTGCAGTCCCTGAGCAGCCCTGAATATGAAGGTTGTAACTCACAGTGACTGTCCTGGAACGAGCTGCTGACGGGGAAGGGGGGGCTGCACACTTCTAGGAATATGCAAATATTCTTACACTTGTGTAAATCTGAACACATTTTTATGTGAGCATGAGCAGTGTTAAGAGAACAACATGCAGGAAATTTAGTGATCATGGAAGGAAGTCCAATGTGGTGCTATCATTTTTGTTGGTTTTTTCTATATTTCAATGAATTCTATCATATGGCCATAAAATTTTTTTCTGCCTTTCATTTTTTTCTTTATCACTTTTTTCTTTCTTTGGTTTAAATTTTTGGCACCATGCTAATAGGAACTAAAAACCCAAACAGACTATCTAAATTTGAAATCAAATTAAGAAATGGAACCCCACCTTCCATCCACTAGTCAGCAGTTTATCAGGAACTCCATCCTCTTTTTTTTTTTTTGGTTTTTCGAGACAGGGTTTCTCTGTGTAGCTTTGCGCCTTTCCTGGGACTCACTTGGTAGCCCAGGCTGGCCTCGAACTCACAGAGATCTACCTGGCTCTGCCTCCCGAGTGCTGGGATTAAAGGCGTGTGCCACCACCGCCCGGCCATCCTCTTTTATTATAAACTGTTGAGTAAAGAGTGTGTGGATTTTGAAGGATTTGATAATCATTACAGCATTAACATTGAACTGGTTTGAAATGATACTATGTTCAATGATAAACAGAAGCAGAGGAATGAGTAGGGGGTCCTGAGGATGCTCAGGGTAGTGAAGCTGTTCTTTATGCACTACCATGATAGACGCATGACATTATTCATTTGTCCAAACATACGGAATATACAGCACCAAGAATGCTAATGACATATCAGTTTAGGATCAGCAGCTACAAAAACAGTTGATGGTGAGACAGGGTGTGTTGTGGCGGTAGGGAGCCATAGAGCCATCCCCCAACCTTCTGCTCAATTTGTTATGAACCTAAAAATACATCATCTAACAGAAAAACAAATACTAAGTATGCTAGAGGGATGATTCAGAGGTTAGGAGCATTTTGCTGATCAGTTATGAGGACCAGAGTTCAGACCCAAGCACCCATGTAACAAGTCAAGTGTAATGCAAACACCTAAAATGTAGTTCTGAGGGATTACCTATCTGTCAATCTATGTAAGCTTGAATGTTTATATCTACATACATACAAGATCATTCACACATACAAGCCTACAAATACATATATACATGCATACATAAAATTTTTTAAAAATATAACATTGGCCCTGATTTTGAGAAAGGACACCAACAATGAGTTGCTGTATTCATAGGCCAGGCATGTTCATGTGAGCAACTGTGATTTTATCTTTCAATGTTAGTTTTCTGATCAGTTGATTCTTATGCATGCCTACAAAGCCAAGTTTCTTCTCTGAGCCATTTGTGATGACTTTTGATTCTGATTATTAATATGGAAATTATCATAAATTTTACTTTCATCCCCACCTCTCTCCCCATATCTTTTGCTAAATCTTCAGATACATTTTATTAGTGAGTTCAGTGAAACAGAGAAGTGAATTTACAGGATAAATTATTTGACGAAAATTAATGTCTTATTGTAAGAAGTACACAATGAAACACTTTAAAATGTTATTCTTAGTCACATAAAAGAAAGACACGTATTTCAAAGAAGCTTAGGAGAAAACAAGATGAATATGTATTTAAAACATGCTTTTAATTAAATGGAATTATATCACTTCCCCCATTCTGTGGTGATATATTGTTTGTAATCTAACAAATAAAATTTGCCTGAAGATCAGAGGATAGAACCAGCCACAGAGTTAGCCACAGAGGTCACATGTGTATATCTATTGGTGGTGGCACACACCTTTAATCCTAGCACTCAGGAGGCGGAGGCAGAGATCTGCTTGAATTTTGTGAGTTCGAGGCCACACTGAGCTATATGAGATTAATCCAGTCTAAAAGAGAAACAGAGCCAGGCACACACCTTTAATTCTAGCACTAGGAATCACGCATCTTTAATCCCAGCACTAGGAAGGTTGAAACAGGAAGTGATATGGCTGGGCAGAGAAAGGAATATAAGGTGGGAGGAGACAGGAACTCAGTCTCTTTCAGGCGGCACATTCCTCAAAGCCTCTAACTACTCACTTCTTTATCAGTAAGATGCATATGAAGTGAGAATAACAGCATAATACCACACGTGTTGGACCACTGCTGTTAAACAGAAGTGCTTCATCCGTTTTCCCTGTAACCTTGAGTGCACTTCCCTCCACATCGACATGTGTATTCAAGCTTTGCTGAAGTTACAGTTTTATTCGGGAACATTTGTTCCCAGGATAAAGCAGCCAGCTGAACCACTGAAGAGTAATGGGTTTGGAGGGTTGAGGATCCAAAAACTAATGGCTTCTGACCCTCTTGGCAGTAGAACAAGATGGCAGGGGTCAAGCTACCTATCACAGCACCGACAACTAAGGTAGAAAGTACAAAAGACCTCTTCTACACTATCTTGCAGTGCAGAACACACATCATCTGTTTCAGATTGTATGTTTGCATTGTGCTGCATTCTCTGGGGTGGACTTCCCAAGTCTTTCCTAAAGACTTTTGGTTGCAGCCTCACTTTCTAGGTTCTTCCTTTTTCCTCCACCACACCCCAGGTACACCCACTGTTTGAACTCTATGTTTATGTTACAATTCCAAGGTCCAAAATAAAGATTGCCCTGGGTCTTTGGTTACTGGTGCATTGCAGAGACTCTCCATGACATCCTCCATTCCCTCTGACACACCCCAACTCCAACTCCATCAATGCTGTGGATATGCATGATGTGTAGTGTCCCTAACCTGTCATCTTCCTTTGCAACCTTTCTATGTCACTTTGGGGCAGTGGCTGTGTTCTGTATTCCCACCTACAACTCCTGTCTTACGTGACTTCTCCTCATGGCTATTGTTCTGTTGTTCTCTGGTAACATTCATTCTCCTGTTTCTATTGATCTACAATAATTCTAAAGTCTTCCTCAGTTTATAATCTCTTTCTACTTGAGAATTGGCACAATTTCCACTCATACCTCTATAAAGAGTGTTATTCCATCCAGGAAGCACCTGTCCTCCCCTTCCTTCTAGAATCACCAGAGAACTCATCAACAAAACTAAAACAAACCAACAAACAAAAGCAAGACACCGTAATAATGTGAGTCATTGTGAGGTGTCTCAGTCCACTCTGTATATAAGATGACTAAGAAAAGATCTATACTAAGTTAGCAGTGGGGATGGAATGGGGAGGCAATGTCATTTCCTAATAAAGACAATCATTTCTACACAGACAGCTGCTTACCCAGAGCAGGTGAAGTGTGATGGCTGTCTAATGAACAGGGGGTTGTGGGTTGGCTCCGGCTGCAGCTTTGGGATTGTGCTGGATCAGAAGAGCTTGAGGTGATGCCTGACATTGAAGCTGCTGCTTGTTAACTTGACTTTGATAGATTTTAAATGGATTATTTCAGAATGAAGTTAATCTAGAAAAAGAGAACAACTGTTACCAAGATATTTTAATTTGGATTCAAGCTGAGGCTATATGGATTGCTTTGAACACCAAGCATATGGTAAAAATGAAGAAAAACTACTGATTAATTTTCACACTGTTAAAGTAGATTTTACTCAAGACATTAAGGAATTTCTTTAAGAGCCTTTGGGTGCGCTGGTGTTATAAAAATATACCTACCATAAAATCACATTACAGAAAGCCATCTCCATCAATGCCAGGTGAGTTTTCAAACAATGAGGCTAATGTTAATGCTTGAATACCAGAGAGTTTCTTTTTCTCCCAGTATCCCATGCAGTTCTCACTATTAGGCTTTTTGCATTTAAACACTAGAGTACCTGAAATAATGGCGATTTGTTTTGAGCAGTTTCATACACATGATATCAGAGTTGAAGCTCTGTCTTTTCTTGGGTGTTTGTCTTTTAAAATATTCCACTAGCACAGGCTGCCTCTGCTGGTGCCTGTGTTGCACAACTGAGGATCCGAAGCAGTAACAAAGAAAGACCACACACACATCAAAATAACGTGGAATTGTATGTGCTTCTTCACACCTTTTTTATGAGCACCGGCAGACATTAATATACAAAATTCCCTCCTTGTTTTCTTTTTGTGCTTGATTTTGTTTTTAAACCACACACTTTCTCCAGAAGACTCAAGGAGCTCCTGTTGGGTTGAAAATTGTGGTTCTTAACTTCTCTCTGCTTCCATGTGCTTTGTAATGCAAACTTTCATAGCCTCTCCCAAAGTGTGGAGTCCACTTCTCTTCCACTTCACAAAATTTGCCTGTTCTGTGACTTTAGTTAATGAACAGGGCAGAATGGAGGCAAGTCCATTTTAAATCTAAGTCGTAAGAACTTCTTCCTGATTGTAAGAAAGCCACCACTTCCAGGCAGTTTATACGTTTGCACTGATGGATAGTAAGAACACACCACCGAGGTTCACCTTACTGCTCTTGCCAACAGCCAAACTGAAAATTAGCTAAAACAGATCTCATGGACCACTCTTCCCTCCATTTGAACATAAATGTGTCAACCAGTCCATCAAAGATCAACAGAACCAGACAGCTGAGCCTGTTTCACCCACAGAATCGTGAGCTACAATAGTTCTTTAAGTAGCATGTCACATAGCAGAAGTTAATAAGGCCAGGAGATGATTTATTCTAAAAAGTAAATAATAAAAGCGAGAGGTGTATGGCAGAGTTAGTACCAGTAGTTTTTACTTTAGGGAGATCATTACAATTAACTAAAACTCTGGCACCATTTGAAATGAGCAAGGTTTATTTCTAATTTGAATAACAAACACATTAATCTTGCTCCTTATCATCAAGCATTCTTTTTATAGTTATACAGGTTCAGAGACTCTGAAACTATCTTGTGTATATTGTAACACTGCATAAATAATGTAAGTGTGATAATTTTACTGAAGGTTAGTTTTCTAACCGTGGAAGTTTCAAGGTTGAAAAAATACTAAGATTAGAGTAACAAAAGCCAGGTAAAACTTCAACCAGATGGTAAAGTTTCATGACACCAGTGAAAGTTAAGGTTACTACATAGTGAGTGCATCATCAGATCCAGCCCATATGGAAAAGAACAAATTAAAGCAGGATATGAAGATGTATCATAGGACCCAAATTGAGAATATTTTCTAAAATATTTAGCTAATGTTTAAAAAATAAGGAAGAAACAATGACAGTATAAAGAACTGAATGAAACGAATAGGGATGAAAGGTCAACAAATAATATTAAAGTAGACAAATAGCATGCTAAAAGAGTGTGGTGAGACAAATGAATTAAAATGCTGAAGGCAGGCTAGATGGAGACATGATATATGTTTTAGGTTTTAGATAATACATACTTAAGTTTTAACCATGTATGTGTAAAAACATTTTGTTCTTCAGTACACACTTAAGTAGTGTGAGGGCAAGACCTCTCATTTAAATCATAGGCCGTGTTATCCAAAAGAATAAAATGGACTGTGAACGACCGACTGAGGGAAAAGTGAGAAAACAGGAAAACTTTACTTGGATATTTTTCATGGCTACTCAATAGTACTTCAATAATTTGGTAATATCGATGCATAAAATTTCTCAATATAATTTTAATGAGTGTGCTTTATAGAAATAGTGCATAACCACATTGAACACGTTAGAAATGTGCTCATTTAAATGAAAACCAATAGAATTCAGTCATTACGTGGGTGCCCTCAGTTTCTCAGAAAACAAGAACATGTCTTTATATTCTTTTCACTTCTCTTTATTTGGTGGCAACTTCCAAAGTCAGAGCTTTGCTTCTAATGGCTTCAAATAACACTTTTGCTAGCTTTGTACCATCTTATTTTTTAACTTGCTTTAAAAAAATATCTCCAATACAACTATACATGTACCTTGGTTGGCAAAGAATTATGTAAAGATGCAATGATTGAGGCAGAAACAAACACCTACTATTTCCAAGATAGTTATTTGCCGCAGATTTTACCTGACCTTGTTTTAACTTTATTGAGCTTAATGCCAAGATTTAAGGGGAAATTATTACTCCAGACATTAAGTTTCTGAGAATTGGTGGGGAATATTTTTAATATAATAGGAACATTGAAATTGAAACTAAAATCATGACTGTCAGAAGAATATTAAATGTTGCAATTTAAAAGTTTGAAGGAATGACACTTTGATGAATAGCCTCATCAATACTTAGTGCTCCATTGCCCTGTAGAATGTATGCTTGGAGAGAGCAGTTGTGAGAATGTTCCTGAAGCCCTGCAGACATATTTAATCCAGCAGAGCCTATGTAGCCCTGAGGCTTCAATGATGATAGGAGATCTTTGTAGGAGATGAGTGTTAAGTCATTGTAAGTAACTCCTCAGGTTTCTCCACTGAATTGCAGGGTGCAGTCTGAGAATCCTTTAGTATTCAGAAACCACAAGTTTTACTAAGCCTCAAGTGTGTATATTCCTCACAAATACTAAGAATCATGGAGCCAAATTCCCTTTTATGTCTCTATTTTAGTATTATACATGTCATAAATTCCTTCTGATTTGCATATTGCTGGGCCTATGGGGAAAGATTGTGAAATTATGAAATAGAAGAAAGAATATTTAACAGAGAAATTGATGTGCCAAATTATGTGACTCATTGAAAGAGTTTAGCTGAGCCAACCAGTGAAGACCTTTCTACGTCTTAGACTCACCAGTATCATCTTCTCACCAACAGAAAATGAATCTATTACAAATGTCTATTTGCAACTGACCCAAGGAGTCTTAGAGAAAGGCAATACTGTTGCCATGCTTTAGATTGAAGACCATATGGATGTTTCTGACTTCACAGCTTCCAATCAGCCCACCATTATTAAGAACTCACAGTCCACTGGGAACAGCAGCAAGGGGAGAAGAGGAAGTTCTATTTCTCTTCTCTACCCCAAAGTCAAGTCATTTCCAGTCTATTAAAGCACACAAGATACTATTCAGGGATTCGAAGAATATGGAGAAAGACAGATAACAGGCTTGTTCCTTCTCACAGTCAAACAATCTGAGTGAAGCTGCAAGCTCTCTGCAACATTATTCTCTGATAGATTCTATAATGGCGAATTTATAGTGATCTCAACACAATGCTTAGAACTCATCAAGGAGAAGCCATTACTTCATCTTGTCTTATTAAGTTAAAAGGGATTCTCTGACAGTACATTTTCCTTGTTATTTACAGGACAATTTTATTGTAGGTACAGCCACTCCTGCAATTTTGTTCATCTTTATTTATTACTCATGCTGATACAACAGGCAATCTCTTCAGTAGTATATATTCATTCTTCTATACAGTTTGGTAAGAAAGAACATTTATTAGATCTTTGTAAAGAATAATTTAAGGATATTTATCAAAAGATTTAGTAATGTTAAGACTGTTTACCTGAAGATTATTCTTGCGAGATTTTTGTGTAAAAGATGTAATTTGAACAAAACTGATACATTCTTCCTGTTTAGCAAAAAGAAGTCATGGGAAGCGAGTTCCTGCTTTGCTACATGCCTCCTCTAGGAATCTGCTGCTTTATAAACTCCATGGGTCAGACTCATGAGGCCTTGACAGGAGCTGAATATCAATGTGTATTTTTGGTGGCCTTCCCCTGTGGGGGTGCAGAAGTCAGAGCTGAGTGCCTGAATGCCTTTACAATCCGATGAGACCATGAGCTCTAAGATTGGCGTTTAGAAAGTTATGCAGAGGCTACAAAGGATAAAGAACTTCAGAGACTTTTCAAAGTTTCAACTCAAATTAGTTCATTTCAAACCAAAACAAAATACATGGATGTATACCACTACAGCCATCTACCATGTGACATGGCAAGCTTTCCTTGAAATAAGACACTATCAAGAACTTCAAGACAATGTCATTGCCAACGGTCTGGGTCACATATACCAGAAACTTTATATGAAAAAAGATGAGAAAGAAATTTTAGAGTTTCCAGAGACTAATAATTAAAGCTACTCACAGACTCAAGTAACTTATCAGATGTGTGAAGCATACATACAAAGTGACCAAACCTGGACAAATCTCAATCAGTATAGTATAAATCACAGGTAAAGAGCAGTTCAGAAGGTAGCCAGGAATAAAAATGCCATACATTAACAATAGTGACATGGACAGATAGTATTGTTGGTAGCTGTAATGGATGTCAGATGACAGGAAATGACATTAAATGGTGAAAAATATGTTCAACTTCGAATTATACAATAAATAAAAATCTTCCAAATGTGCATATAAAATAAGGAAGAATGATGCAAACAAAAGATAAATGTATCAACCAAAGGCATGAACTAAAAGAAAATTTTCTGGCAGTGTTTTGCTCAGCTATGGACCTTGTACGCTACAACACTAACCTGCCAAGCTAGAAGTGATTGCTGGAGTGATAGTGGTACAAATGTTTGGAGGGCAACCAATTGATCATGATTGGACATGAGGCCTATTCATAGGAGGGAATCCATGACCAGTAC